GGCGGGCGCCGCGCGGCGCTGCTGCCTCCTCCTCACCTGCCTTCTCGCTGGCGAACTCCTTCAGGTTGAGCTGCTGCAGGGGGAAGTCCACGAACACGGAGCATTTCTTGATGGAGTAGCGCGTGGTGGAGAACCTGTTGAGGTCTGCGCCGCGCCGGTTAAGGGTCGGGAAGGGCCGGAGCGGAGCCACGTGGCACATCCCCATGGAGGGGACGAGCAATGGCACGTCACCACGGTGGGCTGTGACTTGGGCACATCCCGGTCTGGGCCTGAGCAGGACGAGCTCTGCCCGTGTCCGCGCTCCCAATGCAGCCCCCTGCCCATCCCGCACGGAGCCCACGAGCGCCTCCCAGCCCCGGCACGGCCAGCAAGGATACGGAGCACCAGGATGCGGGGGAAGCGCTGGATCGTGAGCTTCTTGGTGCTCCGCGTCCTCTGCCGGCACTTGTCACACACCTGCTGGGGACAGGGCGCCGCTAAGAGCGGCCCGCGCGGTGCCAGCCCGGTGCCCTCGCCGCCCGTCCCGCCCGGGCCCAACAGCGGCCTCTCACCGGAGCGTTCTCCGAGTCCAGCTCCTCCTCCTTGGTGAAGAGGCTGAAGCAGTCGTGGAGCGAGACCTTCCCGCCGGCAAAGCCCTTCTGCAGGGGGGACAGCGCCAGGGCTCAGCCGGGGACAACGGGACAGAGCGGGGGGCTAAGGAAGGCACAGGGGACCCCCCTTGCTCTCTCTCCTGTGCCTTACCTTTGGGATGGGCAGGGAGAGGTCGCAAAACACTTCGAAGGTGGTGGAGCGGTAGCCGCAGGCCTGGCACTTGAGGCAGCTCTTGAGCTGCCCCACGAACAGATCTGGGAGGAGAGGGGGTGGCCTGAGGCCGGGCAGAGCGGGGTCCCCGCGAGGGCACCCAGGGGTGCCGCCGGCCGCCTCCGGGTGCCACGGCCGCGCCAGCGCCCTGCTCACCCACTATCTTGCTGTCCTCCCTCTCCAGGTACCGCTTCCACATCTGGTTGGCGCGTTCGTCGTCACTGCAGCGGGGAGCGGAGGGTTGGGGACGGGGGAAACGGGCACCGGGAGCATCAACGCGCCCTGGCCGCGGTGTCCAGGCCGCGGAGCCGCCGGCGCTGTCACCTCAGCAGCTCCGAGTCCTCCAGCACCGAGGGCCGCTTGGCGTCCGACAGGATGCTGGGCGTCCTGCGGCCTTTCCGGTTGATCTCCACGTGCAGCCGGTCCATGAAGAACTTGAGGAATTCCTGGGCATCCTGCTGGCTGCAGGGGGGACGTGCCCGTCAGCACCGCGGGCGACTCCGTCCTCCGCCAGCGCCGGGGCTCGTCCCACATCCCAAGCGCGGCCGTCCCCAGCGGAGCAGCCCCCCATGGGCACAGAGCTTGGGGGCTCCCTCGCTTTGGCCCTGCGAGGTGCCCGTGTCCCCGGCCAGCACCCAGCACACGCCGTGCGCAGGGCCGGTGTCCGGCGCGCCGCGTCCCTCCCTGTGCCCAGCGGCGCCGGGACGGCAGCGCCCTCAGCTCCAACCTGTAGCCCGTGAAGGACGGGACGTATTTCTGAAAGACGGCCTTGAAGCGCCCGGGGTTCACGGCCTCCGTGGAGTCCGGGTGCCACAGGGCGCTGATGACGTCCGCGAAGGCTGCGGGAGAGGCGGCGGCTGCGTCACCGCGGTGCCCGCGCTCGCTCCCGCCCCGACAGCGCCGGACCCTTCCCCGGGACGGGACCCCCGTGCCCAGGGCGAAGCCGGAGGCGGTTACGTAAGAGCGGCGCGCGGGCAGCGCAGGGCGCTTACATAAGAGCTCAGCGGGGAGGATTAGCGGGGCGCTCGCGCTGCACCCACCTTCGGTGAGCTCCTGGGGGGCGCGGGGGCCGCCGGGCGGCTCCTGCTGGAACTCCTTGCGCAGGCAGTAGTCGCGCAGCGGCCGCGTGCTGCTCAGGCACTGCAGCACGGCGTTCATGAAGCACTGCCGAGAGAAGCGGCCGCCGCGTGGGCCCCCGCGCCCGCCCCGGCGCTCCCGCGCGCCACCGGAGCGCTCGGCCACGGGCGCTCCGTGGTCCCGGGAGCCGCCCACCCCACCGGGACGCCCGGGAGGCTGAGATAAGGCTTAGGAAGGGAGCAGCTCTAGGAAGGGCTCATCCTGCTCCCAAGGGCACGGAGGGGGTGTGAGAGAACTGTGGGTGGCACAGGGATGCCGGGCGCAGGATGCAGGGAATGCTCGGCATGGGATTTTGGGAACGCCGGGCGCAAGGGCTTACCGTGTTGCCCAAATTCCTGAGGCCGATGTGGCCGGAGCCCAGGAGTAGCGTGTGATGGGTCTGCGGGAATACGCAGGGATGGCAGTGAGGCCGGAGCGCGCGGAGGCTGCAGCGTGGGGGGATCCATCCCAGCGGGAACAGCCCCAGCGCCGGCCCCAGGACCCGACCAAGCGCTTCCACGGAGCCAGCGGCTCCTCCCGCTCCCTCCAGCCGGGCGCACGGACAGACGGACTCGCTGCCTGCCCCTGGCCAGCGCCCGCCCAACCAGCCCTCCCGGACACCAGGATCCGGAGCCACTGCCAGGTGCCGGAACATGGCCATCCCTCCTGGTCCCAAGGATCTGGAACTGCTGCCGGAGCCACTGCCGGAGCGTGGCCAACCTTCCCACTTCCAAGGATCTGGAGCCAGTGCCGAGTGCCAGAGCGCGGCCATCCCTCCGCGTCCCAAAGCGTCGGAGCCACTGCCGGAACGTGGCCATCCCTCCCTGTCCCAAGGCTCTGGAGCCGGTGCCGGAGTGCGGCCATCCCTCCCGTTCCCGAGGCTCCGGCGGCGGTGCCGGAGCGCGGCTTTACCTCGCCGCTCACGAGCAGCAGCCCCATGACGGCCGTGTGCACCACGGACTCGGAGATGTCGGCGCCCCGGCCCTGCAGCTCCCGCTTGGTGGCCAGCGTGCGGTGCAGCTCGCGCGGCAGCTCGGCCAGCGGCGCTCCCTGCAGCGCCGGCATCGCCGCGGAGCGGCTCCGGGAGCCGCCTGCAGCCGGGCCGCGACTGCGGCGCCGCCGCCGGCACTGCCCTTCCGCCTCCCTAAGCCGCAGCTCATTAGCTGAGCCGATTTCCCCCGGCTATTCTGGGCCCGGCGCGAGGCTCATCCCGGGGGGATTAATTAGCAGGAGAGCCACCTTGGGGACAGCGGGCGCTCGGGGCCCGGCGGAGCGAAGGGAAACGCGCCCGGCGAGGGCGGTCCCGGCAGAGCCCGTCCCATGCGGGGCCACGTGGCGGATGTGCCCGGTGGGGACAGCGCTGGGTGCTCGTGTCACCCAGCCCCGGGCAAGCAGGGGACGGCGTCCGGCTGCTCCCGGGGGGCAAAGAGCAGCCGAGCAAACACCCCCGTGGGTGCCTGGGTGGCAATGGGTGACGCGAGGAAGGACAGGTCAAGGGGAGGTGATGAGGTGCCCGGTCCCCATAAGGGTGGCAGGAGGTGGCAACGGAGCCAACGGAGCCAACGCGAGGCGCGAGGGCCGCAGCCGCAGGGCTCTTACAGCGGCCGCCTTCTCGTCGGGCCGACTGAGGGCCGGGCTGGCGGGCGCCGCCGGGTCCTGCGCGCCGGGCGTCCTGCCGCAGAGCTCGGGCCGCACGGAGAGCAGCGGCGCCG